AAGCGGCAAGATAAAGGGCGTGTCTCTGCACGCGCTCGTGGCGCTGACTGTGCTTCGGCGACATTTTGTTACTTGCCGCGATCGGCGTGCCACGCGCGTTTTCTCGCTAGTCTGGGCGGCCCTTAATGCGGGCTCCCTGCCCTCGGTCCTCCTGCGCTGAAGCTTTGAACAAACTGTAGCGCCCTCATTTTGGGTAGTACAAGCTCACCTGATTAAGCATAGCACTACTCATGGCACATTTGTCGAGCTTTTTCAGTTCTATGTGGTGCTAAAGAACGAAAAAACACCTTTGGACGACAGAAATCGGCCAAACTCAACGTTGCAAGAGAATCGAAAGTGCCTAATTCATGACACCACCGCTAGGGCACGCGTCTCTTATCTCTGGGTGGTGACGTCACAACACCTGTGTCACGACGCTTTAATTTTTTTTTTCTTTTTGATGTCTACTTTGGAACGCGTGAAACGGCCTCTCTTGGCTCACGCTCTCAGCGTCTTAGCTTTGACGGCGTTCGAATTTTTGTTCTGTGTTTGTATTTTCATCGTGATCTCGCGCTCCGCACCAGAGCAGGCACGCTTCTGCATGCGTGCCAGTTTGAGACGCTAAAATTTGTACTACCCAAAACAAGTCCTAACAAGTCCCATTCTCAGCACCCTCTGGGCAGCGCAGGAGGCCCATATTTGAGAGGGTCACGTGGCCATACAAGCTGCGAGGAGGAGACAAAAAGCGTCGGTCGTCCGTGTCTCCAAGCTTTGATCAGCGTCTCCGCGATCTATCCTTCTCGCCACGGAACGACGCGTTCGTGCGCAGCCGCCCCCTATCTTCGCAGAAGGCTCCCGCCATTAAATTGCAAACGCGCTTCGTCGTTTGAACTGCTACCTCTCTGAAATCTAGGCTCTCAACCCCTCCACCCCCCACCCCCCCCCTCCTCTCCCCGGTTAAAGCAGGAGACACGTGAGCGATCTAAATGGGCACCGCGCGGCAGTCCCCAACGTTATTAGAATCAACTCAGTTCTGGAACTCCGCTCCGGAGGGGGGTCCCTTTGCGTGGCGCCTGTTAGAGGGCGCGCGCTCCGCATTAATACTCGCTATCATCATCATTGACGGCGCGCTTGTGGCCGTTGCTGTAGAGATCGTACATGGCCGTTGAATCTGGCGCATCTGGCCTACTGAGCTTACGGATGTTCGTGGCGCTTTTTCTGACAGTAGCAGACGACTTTCAAATTGTTTCTGCTGCAGTTGGTAGTCATCGGCACATCTACTATTGCAGTATGCACAAACTAGCCCTGATTGTAGCCGCCGGATTGTGGCGCCGACGAATTAGTGTTGTTCGAAACGCTTCGCGCTGTCAGCACAGCTAAGGCAGCAGCATTTTACAATAATGCAAAGCGTATGCCAAGACGGTCGTAGCGCTTTTCATGCTCAAATTGTAATTTTTACTGGCGAAAGGGCAAAAATTAATTAAAAACCATGCTGAATCTCGAGAGGAGTCGGGACTCGCAAGCAGCCACGGAGCAGTAGCAGACGAAAACGCGTGGATAATAATGATGATGATGATGCGACTGTTCCCTTTAGATCGGGCGGGCTCGAACAATATTCATGCCCAAGCCTGGGGGCATTTGCATGTTATTGCCCCCTAAGGTAGATCTTTCTCCACCAGTCCTCTAATCGTCTCTTTGTTGCCTCGACAGACGACAGACTGGAATAATCCGCCGGCAGCGCCACCTAGCTGCAAAAAAAAAAAAAAAATCGGACACGGTTTCGGACCCCCTCCAATGTACAGCGTCTATGGGAAGTTCCATAACTGAGTTGATCTAGTAACGGTGGCAGTACATAGCAACCGGTGCTGGCGTCAATCCTTCCTGTTTTCTCTAAGGGTTTGGAAAAGGTTATGCTACTTCGAATGACAACATTTGCTGATAATCATGACTTGATTAGCTCGTCGCAGTTTGGTTTTCGAAAGCATCGATCCACAGAACTTGCTCTCCTTGCGCAAAAAGAACATATACTTAGAAATTTTGAACAAAAGAAACTCACTCTCGGCTTATTTGTAGATTTCACTAAAGCGTTCGACTATCTAGATCGTAATTTGCTATTAAAAAAATTAGATATGTATGGATTCCGTGGTCATGTATCAAAACTTCTACGTTCATATTTATCTTCCCGCAGACAGTATGTTCATATAAACGGGCACTCATCTGAAATAAAACCGATTGAATCGGGGGTTCCGCAGGGAAGCATTCTCGGGCCATTCTTATTCAATGTATATATAAATGATATCGTAAATATTAGTCACTCAACTCAATTTTTTATTTATGCAGATGATGCAAGCCTATTGTTTGATGGTAACGATGTGTCGGAGCTCATTGATAACGCGAACGAAACACTAGAAAAGCTTAATAGATGGAGTACACATAATGCATTAAAAATAAACGCCGGTAAGACAAAGGCAGTTATATTCCGACCTAAGAATAAACATATTAATATTACCAAGGATATTTTTATAAATTCTTCTCAAATAGAAATTGTTCCCGCGTTTAAAACTTTGGGCGTTATTTTTCAAGAAAACTTGTTATGGGACGACCATATTAATCATATTGTATCAAAGTTATCTAGCATCGTCGGTATTCTATACCGTCATAAACACATTCTACCACTTAGAACAAAGTTAATATTATATAATTCATTATTTTATTCACATTTAAATTATGGTCAACTCATATGGGGCACTACTACCTATACCAACCTCCACAAAATCTTTATGCTACAAAAAAAGATATTAAGAAGTATCTCTAATGTGCCACTAGAACATCCAACCGATGATCTTTTTTGTAAGATTGGTGTGATGAAAATTTTTGATTTATATAAATATCGTTTATGTGCAAGGTATAAAATAGAAACAAATTTATCCCAATGTCACCTTAAAAACTTAGCGAAGCTAACAGATAAAATTTATAGGTACCCAACACGAATTAAAGAACCTTGGGAAGTACCCTTTTTTAGAACAAACTACGGCCACCAAAGTTTAAAATATACTTTGCCCTCTACCCTTAACCAGCTTAGTAGGCAAGGCATTGAACTTAGCAATATATCGGTGAGCATCTTACGAGAAATGTTTATTTCAAATGTTTATTTCGAGCCAAATTGTCCGTGATAAGCGCTAAAATCTTTTGAATCGATGGTTTCTTTCGCGTTTATTTCAGTGGTGTTTAACGTTCTGTGTGTGTATTCACTATTGTGTAAACTGTATCAATATGCTACTTATCTTGTTTAGCGTCAGTTCTTTCTTTGTAAAGTTGTTCAAACATGTAGTACACATGTCATGTTTCAATTTTGTATAAATCTTTAGTGCCTGCATCGCGACTGCTGGTGTAGGTGGTTTGGGGCTCGTCAAGCTGTTTTTACAGCTTTTTTCCCAAGTCACCTTTTCAACATTGTTTTTGTTGGAAAAAATAAAGGTACTATTATTTCCTCGCGGCGCTCGGGTCAGTGCCGCGCGATGCTTCTCTGGTGCACCTGGCGGCGAGCGTCGGCGTCCGCCGTTGAAAATGTAAAAGTGTTGACCTCATTTTACCTTGCACAGAAAGAGAGCTATACGCCATGAAATTTCACAGTGTGAAATGGACTACTAAAATACATCCTTGGTGAAAGTTCGAGATTGCTACGCGCAGGCTCCGATTTTTCCCGCTGATTTTAGAGAGAGTCTCTGCATTCATCTTACGTCACACCGCCGCGGTGGCGCTGCTGTCGGCACATGCTTCTCCGGGTTTGCGTGCACGCGCAGTACGCGGACTCGTTTGTAAACTGGCCGGCTTCTGCGCGCCGCCATCTTTATCTACTGGGCTGTGGGACACGTTCTGTGCATGCGCAGGAGTGTCCTCTTCTTCGAGATATCAGACGCTGCGCGCATGCGTTCACAGCCAACACCACCTAGAATAATCAAAGCCTGCTCGCTAGATCATTGACGTCATCGGGCTGAGATTGAGCGAAGACACGGATTGGACACGAGTGCGGCGCGTCAGCGTTCGGCCGGCCCTCGTGTCCAATCGACGCGTCGGAGGACGCTCGGCATCGGGCTCGGGCCCAGTTGCTGAGTTGGTGCCATCGAGGCCTGCCAATTCCATGAAGGAATTTGCGAGCCTCGCTTATTCTTGGTGGGAACACAGTCCAGTGACTTGACTTTTTTTTTTTTTTTTTTTTTCTGCACGAGTGATAAGAGCTGGGAGGGTCGCGACTAATTCAACTCGCAAAGTTCGGGCTCTAGCTCAGGTTCAAGAAGGCAAGCACTGGCTTCAGAATAGTTTCCTTTGATTTTTATCCACTACATGGAAAACCTGCGGAGGTTTGTTGGCGTAAGTGAGCTTCCAGAGGCTTTTAGTCTTCTTGGGGGAAGCGATTGAAGAACCTACTGTACTTCTACCTCGCCCATGGATGTCGATAAACGAAAAATCTGGTTCGCGCGGTTGCGTGTTGTTGTGTCCAGAGCGAACTATAGGCAACACGGTGATACTACTGTAACGACAGTCGCCGGGACAGCTGTGCGCCTTACGTAGCACGAGGACCAATACAAGCTAGGTGCATCTGAATCGTTAGGCCACTGTTAGTCACGGTTTCTTTCTGCGGCCCTGTCGTTGCTGCCGTTTTCTCAGCTGTGGATAACATCAGCGCAATTTGCATCGCTTTACTGTCGAGACCGGTTATAAAGAAGCCGGTTCTAACGAAAAAGCCGCTACAGCGAAGCGATTGCGATTTCCCATTCCCTTTTGTACTTCGTTATAACCGAAGTCGGTTATAACGAAATAGCGGATATAGCGAAGTGACTTCCGATTCCGGTTGACTTCGCTATAACCGGTCTCGACGGTACTTTGATAGTCATCGCCCCAACCGTATGCAGTCACGAAAGCCAGAAGAAATCGCGAAAGGACATGTTCCGGCCAGTTCACTGTTTTTCCCGCCGGGTGCCGTCCGTTTTGCTGGAGTCGCGACTCGTGTCCGAGCTCACCTGGGCGTCTGGCAGTGGCGTGGCGTACACCAGGGCGCCGCAGAGCAGGAGCCAAGCGCAGCAGTGGGACGGCGGTTTCCTAGCCATCCTTGTCGGCCGGCTTCACGTCACAGAGTCCCTCGCGATGATCTACGTGATGCCGTGTTGCTGGGAAGGGGCCGGCAGACCGTCCCGGTTCATCGGTGCCAGAGAACGTCCTTTCCACCGTATACAGAGCGTCCGGAAGTTCGGGCATCGACGCGCCGGCACTGCGCGCCACTGCCACCAGCAGCGAGTAGCCACAGGGCAGGGTTGCAGCCGCCGACGTGGACTGCCTGCAGGGCAGGAAACGGGGATCGGAGGTTTTCCCGAGCCTGTCACTCTAGTCGAATCCTCCTCAGCGCGCGGAGATCGATCTAGGCTCGTTGATAGGTGTCTGTCTACTCACGCCCTGACGACATATTTGTCGAGACGTTCAGAATAGACCTTTCCGGAAAATTCCGCGAGGCCTCTCGCCAATCCCACATTGCACCGCGCGGCGTGGGGAATTGCGGGGCCGTTCCGATGTACGCTCGGGCTGGCTATAGTACGCTCTGTACATCGTGGAAGTGGCTAGGTTCCTTCCCTTATCACTGCGAAGTCAGAACACGAAGGAAACGGAGCAAACAGATTGCAAAGCCTATACCTGTCTCGTTGTAGTCCTGCTTTATTTGCGTTGTCAACTAGCAAAATGCTGAACAAGCAAGAACCGCCCCATCCCGCGCCGAACATCGCATGACCGAATAGTGTGTCTAGAAACAATGGGAGGTGCTGCGTCTGGAATTGCGTATTCTCAAACCTTTCTATCTTGAGGGAGCCCTCTCTGCCTCGAATGTCAGCCGAGGAACTCCTTTTGGTCTCAGCATGGATACAATAGAGCGGTGCAGGAGCCTGCACACCTTGTAAACAATACTAAAGATTGAGAGTGTTTTTCTTATAGTTTTGCATTAACGAGTGTGGCTTCTGAGAGGGTGCTTCAACTGGAAATAAAAAAAAATACACCTTACTCAAAATCGAAAACATTTGGCAGCAGAGGAACACTTCAAGGTACTCTGGAGTCTGTGGAGCTCCAGGGTCCCTACAAGCCCAGTTTGAGAACCCATGATCTAGAGCACGCAGGGATGTGATTGCTGCGCCAAACTGCGCCAAAAGAGCTGTTGTATCCTGCTATATTTTACCATAACGTGAGAAATCTGTGCCAACATTGTGCCGTGACTGAATTTAATTAATACCGAAAAGATAATAGCTCAGGCTTTTATACCCGCCGGATCGTTACGATAGGCTTATGCGAGTTTTGAGAACTTTTGATTATAGCCTCAAATGATGTTACTATCGATTGCATTTCGTATCAAAGACTGACAGTACTCGGAAGTTTCGCAATAATTATGATGTTCGTGGTCTTGCCTGGCGGGGTAGTTAGTTTCGTTGAGTGCGCTTCTCACTGCGCACTGGTGTACTGCAAAGAAGTGGCAACCACAAAGTAGGCATCGCGATTTTGCGTGTTTTGCTTCACCGCAGCGCACTCCCGTGCTAAGGGGAAAACACTCCTCCAGAGCGAGACGCGGCACAATTTCGGAATAAAACTTCGGCTACAACACTACAGCCCAGCGTGCGGTCTTCACAGCTTAGCCCGCACGGGCTCGGGGTGTCTTTGGAAAGCGAGGAAAACACGCGTTATACGCACAGACTCTAAAGATGGCGCCTGCTTGGTGTTATTTCGGTCTGGTCTGGTCTGGTCTGGACACCATATTTGAGTGCGCTATTTTTAGCGAATGCTCAGGACAAGCTCACATTAAGGTCTGTTCACACATGCAGCGGAGCGCTACAAGCGCCAGCGCCGACCTCGCACAAAGCGCGTGCTGACGGGAGCGTTCCCCAGCTTCGCATCGCACCGTCAAAGTTGTTGCTCTTGGCAGACGACAAGTAGAGAGAGAGAGAGAGAGAAGTGTTGAAAAGAAAGAAAGCCCGGAACTTAAACGACAAGTAGCTGAAGACACGTGAGCAGCGCTACATCAGCGCTTCGCTGCATGTGAGAACCGGCCTTTAATCGGCTGCTATACTCCGTTTCACCTTATGTTGTACCGCAGCGAAGGCTACAAGCCCGAGCTCATAGCGTTGGCAGCTGCCCTTGGTGCACGAGAGCTTGTGCCACCGAGATGGGAGCAAGGAGCTCGAGCTTGTAGCCTTTCCTGCGGTACAGCACAAGGTGAAACAGAGTAGAAGACCGGCAAATCTCGATGGTTTGGAATGCACGTGGCAAGATAATTCTGGATGCCTACCGTTAGCACGCGCTCAGCGCTCGTGCACACAGCTAAGGCCGCCTTCAAGCAGGCTGACTGGGCGCCGCCTTGTCTCGGCTTGTGCGTGAAAGCTCGCGCAATTTCGAGCTTGCCAGAGCTGTGTTCACTCGCGCGCTGCACGTGCTTGCACGCATGGGCCACCAGTCGGGGCGTCATGCTTGCAATTGTGGGCACCAGTGGTCTCAAACTCATTTGAGTGTGGGGGCCAGATAGCCCACACCGGAAAGGTCGAGGGCCACCGTAAGACAGGGGGGGGGGGGGGGGGGGGGAAAGGTAAGAGACCATGTGCATTATGCTTTTTGCGAACTCACAGTTTTGCCAGCGACATCTTTAGATTTGATTTGTTTTGACTACTTTTGGCCCTGTCCTGTTGTGATAAGAATTAAAATGATAGCGCCCCGCCAACCTGCTGTGATTTTTAATAGATCAAGAGGGCAAGTACACTATCGTTTCCGTTGCTCAATTCAGTGAGGAATTAACCAAGCTGAACGTGTCTCTAAAAAGAACAATAAGTTAATTTGACACTTCTTGCTTTGCCGATTTTTATCACATACTTGTCTTTTAATAGTGATTTTGTTTTTAAAGGGGGGGGGGGGGGGCGAGAATTCCGAGGTTGTAGCTTTATATTTAATAGTTGCTTCTGCTGATCGAGAGTTAGCGCAGCCGAGATGAATCCTTCAACAAGGAGCTCGTGCTTGCAGCCTAGTAGCGGAATTTTTATACATTCCAAAAACAGCCTAGTAGCGGAATTGTGGTACATTACAAAAACCTGTAAAGCAAAAAATAAAGCGAAACAAAGGGCAAGGGCGAACGCAGATAAGTAAAAACTGTGTGAATACAAGAAAATACCACAGATACATTTAGAGCGAGAGTGAATCGGCGAGATGCCATTCCTGGCGCTCGAGAGTCGAGACATGGGAACCGGGGCTCGTAGCCGGTTGCCTGCGGGCTGCGCCCCAGCGAGTCGCGGGCCGCCCGCTGGCCGCGTGTTTGAGACCTCTGATATACGACAGACTGCGATATCATTGCGGCATCTTTTTGTTTCCTTTAGAGCGCAGCTCTTAGGCGCTCGTTTCCGGCTTGAGCGGCGTCGGCGTAATGGTGCGGTGCATTATGGGACGTTTACCGTGATGAAGTCACACGTGACGTCACGTTTGACGTCACGAGGGTCACTAGTGACGTCATAGATGACGTCACACGTGACGTCACCGCGCGTTGCGTTACGGGTAAATTGTCCCGCTAAATTTAGCAGAAAATTTTCCCCGCTAAATTTAGCGACAAAATTTCCCCGCTAAATTTAGCGGGAAATTTTCCCTTAAATGGGAGGCGAGCAGAAGGGGAGCTTACGGAAGGAGGAGGGGCATACTTTCCCCTCCGTACCTTCCCCTCCTCGTCCTCCTCAAGAGCTGCACTCTAATTCGACCTTACAGGGTATTGCAAACGTTTTTCAATGTTTCAATTCAAGATTTTGGGAGGGTACTTTGGTATTGCAAGAAAATTTATATGGAGACTTCTGTAGGTTTGTTTTTTTATGTTTTGTTTTTATCTGATTAAGAATTGCTGTTTTATTACCTCGAGAATTTGGAGAAGAAATAGATTTAGGTGCTCACACTTATTGTAGTATAACATTATTTCAGTGGGATTTCGTACCAAAAATAACCATTCACGGCAGTTTATGCTGTCCATCAGTGGTCTTCTTGTTTCCGTGCATAGTTACATGTTTGACGGAATCGCTCTTGCTGTGCAATCGATGCTAACAAAAAATTACACCACGTAATAGACATTGTTTTTTAGTTGGACAGGTGTACACATGAATCTTGATATAACATTTGCGGTGATTTGAATGAAAACGAAGCGCGCACTTATACCCCAAACCTCCTTTTGCTGCTCCCAAATTGACTTTTGACTGCTCCAAAATGACTCCAACCAGTCGCATCACTGAACACGACCTCCGCGAGTCAAAATCTTCGGCTACTTGTATATGTTTACCCGGTGACGGAGGCATGCATGCTTTCAGATGCAGGGGTCTGCGCCGCGGTGTCTTTACTCAGATGTGCTATGGCCCAGCTCGTGGCACTCAGCAGGAAGGGCGGGGATGGGGGCTCGAAGGTGAGGGGTGGGATTATAGGTTAAGATATGGTCTATATTCCAGGTCGCCGAGCGAAGAAAAGTTAAATAATGCCCGGGTCTTCGTCCACACCGCGGAGCGATTGCAAAGACCGACTGTTCCTGCTCTAACGGTTTCATGGCGACTGACTGTTTCGTGGTTGGACTGGAAAACCAAACCTGCTGCGTGCTTGCTCCTCGTCGTCGTGGTCTTCGCTCTCGCCGTTGAAGACCCAACAGGCTGTGCGGGACCTCGTTGGCGCGTTTACGCTTGCGGAATCGCTGGCGGAACCGTGCAGGCGGAAAGTGTATTTCGGAGCCGGGTGGCGAAATTGACTCGTCGCTGGCGGAAACTCTGGATCAGTCTGGGACCCATATATCCATATTTTTCGCCAACGACGAGTCGATCTCGCCGCCCGGCTTCAAAGTCCACTTTCCGCCTGCGCGGTTCCGCCCGCAAATCCGCAAGTGCAAACGCGCCGCCATTACGTGCATATACGGGATCCCGCGCGGACGTGTCCAATCGCGCGCGAACGTGCTGGGGCCCTAAACTCGTCAAATACAAAGTTGGAGGCAAAGTTGACGGAGCGCGCCGATTGGACAGTCACGACAATGACTTCGCGTTTTTCTCCTCGACATCCAATCGGTTGTTGTTGTTGAAAACTTTACTGGACGTAACAGGAAAGATTGGGAAGGGAAGGGGGAGTTAAAGAGATAGAGAGTGGGTGTATGCCCTCATTCCAGGGCTCCAATTGCGGTTTGGGCATGCAGCGCGCGGGTCACCAGCAGCTTTTGCACATCGATGACTTCACTCTGCAGCCCCGCTTCCCA